ACATGTGGTCAGAAGCTCCAACCATTTATTAGTTAGTTATTTATCTATCTATCTGTTTGTGTATGTATTTAAATTTTGCTAGAGGGCACATGCAGTTACAGGAGAGAGGTGGCAGGGGGAGGGTTTGAGAATGGACCCCCGTGAGGGATGGCCACACCGCACCCTTCTCCTCCATCTCTCCCTCCTGTCAGGATTTTGGGCACACATACACAGAGACCCTGCATATTTTTCAAGATGCCAGACACAAGACTCAAGCTCTGCAGTCAGCCATTTGGGATCCAGCCTCCTTAACCACCAGATCATTAAGTGGCCACCCAACCTTCTTTTAAAATCTTACATTGTTCAGGTCTATAGCAGTAAAAATTAAAACCCCCCAAAAAAGTCCTATGGGCTTTGCAACCCCAGATCGGAAAGATCTGCAGACTTCTTAGGACATGCTGGGCCTAGACTTCTTGGGACATGCTGGGCCTGGTCCTAGGGGCATGTCTTAGCACCTGTAAGCACAGGGGACACTGCCCATGGTGTGGTGGGCTTCACTGAGCAGTGTCCACAGGTCAGACACCGCCTCCACAGCCAGCCGAGCGGGTGTGCGGCCCACTCATAGTGCTGAGGACTCGAGCCAGGAGATGAGTTCTCCCTAGAGGGTGCTTGGGCCCCGGGTGCAGGAGCTGTGTTCTCCTTTCTTCCTCTTAAGGCCTCCAGGTCCTGAAGACAGGCTGCCAGACCCAGCTCTGCTCGGCCCCCAGCCTTGGTACTGAGACCCTGCCCATTTTCAGACTGTGCCTGAACAGGTGCTGGGATCCTAGCAAGTCCTTGCTCCTCAACCACAAAATCCTGCTTGTTCCTCGCCCCCAAGTCCACTGAGGAGTCTGTTCCTTCCCCCTTTCCAGGTGCTCCCAGCCTTCTGTAAATAGCCCCTCTGGAGGAGACGCCCAGGACTTTGTTTGTGTTTTGAAAGCCAGTTGGCCAAACTCGCTTTCTGAGGCAGTTATTCAAAAAGAGGGTGAGAACAGCGTCTGGTGGTGCCCACTCCCGTTTCACGTGGGGTTTTCACGGCAGCTGCTGGGGCAGGATCCGAGATTCTCACTGTTTCCACCCTGCTTCTGTTCTGCCTTCTGACTGCCCAAAGAACAAGTGCGTAGTCTGAGGACCAGTCACAACTAGCTCACGTGGTAGCGGCCATAGGTGTTACTTACAAAGCACCTACTGTGCGCCAGCCTCCGTTTCACATCCGGCCTCACTCATCTTACCAAGGTGGCATTTTCATCTGTTGGGTCCTCAGGGAAGTCATGACGCATTTTTGCATAGAAAAACAGAAACATACATGATGACTTTCCCGGTGACCTAATACTCTTGGTCCGTAGCCAGCCATGGTCTCTCTGAGCCTTGTCCCATAAAGGGGTTCAAGCAGGGATCCCCCTCAGTGCTGGGAGGACGATTATGGAGCTGAGGGGCAGGGATGGAGCCAGTTCCTGAGAAGCCGTGGAAAAATAGTAGCTGTCACAGCTTCTCATCCCTTGAGGGACGTCCCGGCTGCTGGTGTCTTCATGCCTTGACTTATTCAGGTGACACCCTCCTTGCTGTGCCCTCAAATTGCCTGATGGGTGTTAGGGAGCAAGTTAAATATTTACAAATGCAAACGCGTGTGATATCCACTGCCTGGCAACCAGTACAGAAGCCGGGCAACCAGTAGCGATTTGGAAATACCCTTTAGGACCCCTCTGCAGGGAGGAAGCCCCGTCCTTCTCACATCCTCCCATTTCTGGGCCTGTGGGACCCAGGAAGTGCTCTGTCTGCTTCCTCAGCCTCTGTCTGTGTCTCCTGTAATTGATTGATGATTAATTACTCACCTTTGGCTTTTCCAGCACTCGGCGATCTTTTGTATTCAAACTGACCCAACAGCAGACACCAGATTCAGGAAATTAGGCCTTCCTTTCAAACAGCCCTTGGCACAGATTAGACCCTTCCAAAATATTTGTGGAAAAAAAATGAACACTAAGATGTAAATGCATGTGGGAGAGTTCTGGAAACAAGTAATGTCTAGGTTACAGATAGATCTGTGTGTTTTTTTTATATATTTATTTGTCAGAGGGCATGTCCACTTGCTAGAGAGAGACAGAGATGGGGGGAGGGAGCAAGCACTGCTTCATGGGGCTCAGTCACGTCACAACCATTTATTCTCCTTTCATTCCCTGTTCCGTGGGGATTTGGGACACCTAGACTCATGCGCCCAGCGTGTTTTTCAGGCCTCTGGTGCTGGGATTCGAAACACTGTCAGTCATAGGGATCTGGCTCCCTTAACCACTAGGCTATGGCATGGGCCCCTCTGTTTCTTAATTTTTCTGAAGCATCTTCTGTGTTTTGTTCAAAGCAAAGAAAGAAAACATTCCCTTTGCCTCATTTAATCCTTGCTACAACCCGAGGAAGGAGCGAGGCCTGCTGTCCCATGTCATAGATGGGAGCCGGCAGTACCACCAGTTCACCTTCAGAAACACTGTCTCTGAGGGGCAGGTCTGCAGGAACGCGAGCCAGGAACAGTTGCTGCAGAGACCCATCAGTGCTTAGTCCTCGCGAGACTAGGGAATCCGCTGGTGCAGAGACTTTGGACCCAGGCCTGGAATGGCGGCTGGCCCTGCCCTGTCCCCACTGTCTGCCCATAGGCAGGTCTGCTCACCTCCAGAGCTTGTGTACCCCTCTGCACCATGAGGGGAAGGCCTCCACCCCACCTTCCTCCATATTAGAAAGATTCCTGAATAATATACAGGAAGAACCTTAGCGTGTCACCCTGCGGTTGGTGAAGGTCATGACAGTCACGGCTCTTGTTCATGAATGCTCCTTTGTAGCCAAGCCCTCTGTCCCCGTGGTATCGGGCCCTGCGGCGAGGGCCACGCCTGCGCACACGGTGATCTTCACCTGCGAGTCCCACGGCTTCTCCCCCCGCGACATCTCCCTGCGATGGTACAAAAATGGGAATGAGCTCTCAGATGTCCAGACCACCGTGGACCCCGCAGGAGAAAGCGTCTCCTACAACGTCTCCAGCACAGCCAGTGTGGTGCTGGCCCCCAAGGAAGTTCGCTCTCACGAGGTGGCCCATGTCACCCTGCAGGGGGGCCCACCTCTCCGTGGGACTGCAAACTTGTCTGCAGCCATCCAAGGTAGATGACCCTCAACCCAGCCTCAGCCCACCCTGGCGGCCATCCTGCTCCCCCCTGGCTTTTACTCCAGGGCTGAATAGCCTGGAATCTCCTTCCTACAGCCCTGCCACCCGCCATGCTCTTCACTGTAGCTGCTGTTACCCTCATTTCCAGCCCATGGGCCAAGCCCCGTCCTTACAGCTTCCTTTATTTTCCCAGTAAGAACAACAGTTAGCACTGATTGTGCTCCGTGGTTTCATCTATTAATATTTTGCTGCAGTTATTATGTTCCACCTGCATGCAGGGGTTGTGCCCATTGACTTCAGTATTACCCTAATAGGAGCTAGCAGTCCGTCCTTGAGCACCTACTATGTGCTGGGCATCGTGCTCAGTGATCTTATTCACAATCAAGGAGTCCCCTCAGGGTCTGAGCACTAGTCGCATGCCTGGCCCTGTCCTGGGTAGCGCCCTGGCTGTGGTGGTGGGAGCCGAGTTATGGAGCCCCTTCCCTGTCGTGCGTCTGTGCCGTGAGGTCAGAGCTCTGTCCTGTGCCGTTTCAGTTCTGCCCACCATGGAGGTCACCCAGCACCCCATGATGGTGGCAGGGAACCAGGTGAATGTTACCTGCCATGTGGAGAAGTTCTACCCCCGGAGCCTACAGCTGACCTGGCTGGAGAATGGAAACGTGTCCAGAACAGAAACAGCCTCGACCCTCACAGAGAACAAGGACGGGACCTATAACCTGACCAGCTGGCTCCTGGTGAACTCGTCTGCCCACACGGAGGGCGTGGTGCTCACCTGCCAGGTGGAGCATGACGGGCAGCCTGCGGTCAGCAGAAGCCATACGCTCAAGGTCTCTGCCCACCAGAAGGAGCCGAATCCAGATGCCGCCCCAGGTGGCTTCTCCAGCTGGCCTGGCTTTTTAAGTTTTAATTTAATTTAATTTAATTTAATTTTAAGTGGAGAAGTAGTAATTCATGCTCAATATAGAATAATCTAGAAGTCTATAAACATAAAGCAGAATTTTAAAAGGTCAGCTCCCCTCCTTCCAATCCCACACTCCAGCAGTCACCACTGGTAAAAGTTTGCTGCTCATCTTGTCAGATCTTTGGACAAAGGTCTTCTGATGACAGAGGCAGGGAGGGATCGTCTGTCCAGGCGTCCTACTTCTGGCCATCTTCAGCTCACAGAGGCCGCAGTCACTGCTCCTCAGCCTGCCTGCCTCTCCCCACTCCCTACTCTTTGTGACCCCTGCTGGTCTCCCTGGCTGCCATTGCAAGCCTGTCCTCCATGGGTGTGGTGGGGCAGGGAGCACTCAGGGTGTTAGCGGCTGGTCTCAAGTACAGTCTGTGCCATAGCGGACATCCCTGCATGTGGTCCCTCCCGTGTGTGTCTGTTTTTGCAGGCTCACCCTCAAGGAGCGTTTCCAGGCCCAGGGCCTACTCCTTGGAGATGAGGATAATGCTGCCACTCTCCTGAGAGTGAAGGGGTGTCAGGGCGTCACATTCTCAGCCATCTCTCATGCGTTATCAGCATGCATCTTCAAAATGGCGCCACCAGTTGGCATTGCAGTACCACTGTGGAATGTCCCGTGACCTGACATCAGTGTGGTTGTGCAGGTCACAGGTATGCCCTATCCGTAGGAGGAACCTTTGCCTAGATGACAGTAGAGGTCATTCCTATCCTTCATACATTTTTCAGGGAAGTTGTAAAGAACCCTTGGGACCATGACAGGGTAGCCTTTTGACTCCACCGATGCCCGGTTTTCTTAGGACACAGGGTGTCTTGCACCCTGACAGTGTCATTCCGCATTGTGGCCTCATGGCCTGACACACAGTAGGCACTCAATAAGTACTTTTGAAAAGGATGGAAGAGTTGGCTGGTTCGTCGGTTTGGTTGTTAAACAGTCCTCAGAACTGTCCAGTGAGGTGGAGATGGTGGTCGGCCCGCGTAACAGAGGAGGAAGCTAGGATGTGGAGGGAGCTTCAGCTGATCCGTCCAGGATTGCCCAGCTAGTTAGGGGCATTGGTTTGGACCACATGTCTGAGAGGCTCAGAGCCCTGTCCCTGACTAACCCTGCTCTAGTGTAGGACCTCTGCCTTTGCCCTGGGGCTCGCCACTCCCATCTCATCCTCAAGCATCCTGAATTCAGAGCTCCTATGCTGACTCCAGAGTCCAGCGTTCATGACGCAGGTCCTGGGCACAGGTCAGAGGTCAGCCCCTGAGAGCTCTCAGACTCTGGTAGCTCGCCAGCCTGTGCACCGTTTCCTCACTGTCCCTCCACCGCCACCTCCAGCCCCGTCTGACACCTAGTAGCCTATTCGGAGTTTCGGGTGGATCTGTGATGCTGTTGTGGCTGCCCCGTGGTTTACTCCAACTGAGAAGGAATGTTTCTGTTCCTCAGGAGTGAGATTTCTGCCCACATCCTGCAGCTGGGCTTCCTCCATGGCTGGCGGCAGCCAGTCTCTTCCCTCCTGGCACCTCAGCGTGGTTTGGGGCTGCTC